ATATAAAATTACCAAATATGATTTCATAAAAATAAATGCAAACCATCCCACTTTGACAGAAAAAAATTCTCTCTAGATCTCTGATACCCTGGCATTTCATCTCTGTATTTTCTTAGTCCTATATACGTCTAATCTAGACACATGCCTTGTTTTACTCACAAGGAAAGGCAAATCTCTTGTTAACTATGCTTTAGTTTTTCATATTCTTGATTTACCACTTCAATTTCTTCAACCAGAAGATACTTTTCAAACTTTCTCATTGATGAAATTAATCCAGAAATTAATTTTGCTTCTTTTCAACTTTGGCTCAAAAATCTGCATTCTTTCTAAAAGCCTATCTATGCACTCAATTTAATTGAGTGGAACAATATCTAATGTGTACTATTAAATGGAAGGCCATGATGTATGAGCAGCAAAAGAAGAAAATACTGCTTTTCCAATGTTTAAGGAATTATATTGGCTGGCTTAGTAAAAATAGATTTGCTGAACATTTTATGCAATGCACTATGACAAATGTAAACTGATAATCTTTTACAAGCCATGGGATGGGTAAACCAAGCTTCAGGAAATGCCTGACTTCAAGGAGATTGTACTCTAGGAAGAACACAGCAAGATAAAGACAAAATTTCAGTATCTTACATGCTATTAAGGAAGTACATACACTGTCTTATGAGCTTGTACAAGAAAGGCATTAGGATTGTGGCCAAATGGACACTTAATCATTCTTTTGCCCAGTAAACAACTATAAAGCAAGCTAAATGGTGCTTTCCCATGTCTTAAAAAATATGCTTTTCCCCTACATACAATGGATGGTTAAATTGTTCTACTCTAGACACGATGCATCTATGACATCCAATTTTTGTGAAACACATTGTTGCATTTCTGTCTAACATGTTATTTTCCCAATGACTATTTATCATACGCTCTGTGGTTGTCTAATGAACAAAGAGTGCAAGGTGAGGAAATAAACCTTGGCAAAACAACGGAAAGGCAACCATGTATCATTGATGCCACAGGGGAGAAAAGAAACAAATGAAAAGAGCATAAAGACTCAGTTGCTTCTGAACACTAGGAAATAGCATCTGTGTTTCTCAGCAAGTTAATAACAACAACTGTGCCAACTACTTGGAACCACTGAGAGAAAGGAGGAGAGAGATACAGAAAGCTAGGTTTTAAATACAGAAACAAAATAAAACAAAAAACTATTCGGCTGAATTCAGGTAATCCAAAAGATGCAGTCAACCAAGAAACTAACAAAGCAGCCATGATAAGATTCTATACGTCTCAATACCCTACTGTCACAAATAGATCAATAAGACAAAAAATAAGCACCAAAATATTAGAACTCAATCAAACTCTTCAACAAATGAACTTAACAGATGTTTACAGAGTGTTCCACCCCACAAAATCAAAATATACATTCTGTTCAGCGGCACACGGGTCTTTCTCCAAAACAGACCACATACTCACTCATAGAACATATTTAAGTAAGTGCAAAGGAATTAAAGTTATCCCCTGTATATTATCAGACCATAGTGCAATGAAATTGGAGATCAATAGCAAAAGAAACTGCAAGAATTTCATAAACACATGGAAATTGAACAACACATT